AATTTATGTATCAAACTGAAAACTATTTTCTGAAATTTCAAACCGTTCTGATATCCTAAGAAAGTCAACTATATTGTTCATCCGATGAATTTGATACCGTGGACTTGTCGAAATTTCATATATCAAAGAATGTGGTTTTCAATTATCCTATCACATCTCCGAACACATTAAATTTAATATTTACTGCTTCTTCGGAAACTACTCCAAGTGTCAAGGTAATTAGACCACAATTAATGTCCTTGGAATTAGTAAAAACAAATATAGATTTTTTTTTTAATAGAACAAATATAGATTATTAGCGAACAAACCATTGTATGTACATACATGTTTGGCAAATATGTATCCATATCTTTGGCAAATGTGTATATATATGTTTGGCAATATGTGTGATAATTCTATATGAGCTATGTGCATATTTAGGAGTGAATAAAGAAGAAACAAAGAAGCTTGAGGAAAAAGGAGAAGAAAAAAGTGGGGTTAAGGAGCATGTGATATGATCCCTCAACATGTGGTCTTCTTTTTCAAACCTTTTGCTTTCTTTCTCCTCTCTCATTATCAACACACACACATGTATCCATATATATACATAAGTACATATAATATATTGATTAGTGTGTGTGTGTTTCTCAGAAAACTTGTGTTTCAAACTAAGTCTCGCACTCATATCTACGCAGCATCTTTTGGTACCAAACACATGTGGGGATACTTTTATGGTATCGATAGTTCATCTTTGTTGGAAAAGATGATGTATGAAATTTTTAGAGAATTAAAATAGAGAGTTGCATAAAACAGTAAATATATTATATCTATATGACTTTATCATTTATCATATCTATATGACTTTCAAATTAACAAATAAAATAAAAAATTCACTATTTCATAAATCAACAAAAAAAAGTTCTAGTTACAAAAGAATATGAGGGCTTAATTTTGTTTTGGAATTAACAAGACCTTTTTCAAATTTTAAAATCATTTTTTTTTATATCTGAATGTAAGTTTCTAGTCTCCCAAAGCAGGGGTTAAAAAATAATTGTTTGCAGTATATGGATTGGAACTCGAACTAAGTAAGAATCGCATGCATTCCGAGATAATAAATGATTTTAGGCTTACATGTGTTTTTATACGTACATATGGATGCATCACATGTATGTATATTAACTTTTATATTTAATACATATTGCTTGCAAGACAATCTTTCAAATAGAAGTAACCACACATCTGCTTGTGTCTTACTTCAACTGTCTTGTTTTTCCTCTAAAAATATACTAGAAAAAGGAAAGTTTTCACATGCATTGTTTAAGAGGTTTCGTCGATTTATTCCTCTCACCGTCACCATTACACATTTTCTTTTCCAGTACTTATTACACGTAATACTTGCTTAATTTGATCTTAAAAAGATAGTTAAAGTATAGTATTTAACAAAACTAAAAAGGATAGTTGGAGTATACACACACTACTATAAAGAAATTCCGCAAAAACCGAAGGGATGTTTATAGCTATAGAAAATTAATAACAAATTTTAATTCACAATGGATTTACAATGATTTATAAACTGTCTACAGTATATGAGTTCGTCGCATATGAACGATTGAAGTAAATTTGAACAGATTTGTGAGTCGTGACATTTCATGCTGCAATTTGCGGCATAATTGCGACATATTTTCTAATCAAATTTGTAACATGTGTAGGAATTTAATTGAATTTTCTAATAATTTAGAAGTTTGTTTGTCCCACTTCATCAGCAAACAAACTCCCTGAGTCAGATCTTTTTCATACAACTTCTTCTTTGGAGAAGCAAAACAAAAACAACTTCTTCATACAAATATAAATCTTATGAATCGACCTGTAAAATACTAAAATGTCACGACTCAATAATGAAATTAACCTTGTGGCTTAAAACAAAATATATATTGCAGTTAAATGAACATTCAAAACTTTGCACAAAATTTTCACTAAAACCAGATTTTGTATTTTATCATCAAAAAGAGTATAGAAGTTATCATCTACTTGTCTTCATTAGTAAATTTTTGTTTCACCAAATCATTATTTATATACCTTATGGTTAAGAATTCTGAAAAACTGAAGTTATGAAAACACATACCTATTTAAACAAATTAAATGAAATTAGAACTCCTAGAAACAAACATGAAATTATAAATATGAAAACAAAACAATATTAATTTGGTTTAAAAGTTTTGTTTTATCGTTTTATCTATGACTAATTTTTAAACCAAATTAATTTTGAAAACGTTGAAGAAAACAATGTTTCAAATCTCGTCAATGTGCAGGGGAGCTTTGAGCAGCCACTATGTGCGCAAAGTTCTACATTTGGAAACAGATTGTGTTGTTGAAGAACATGTGTGTCAAAAAAAATCTAGTAAGAAATAATAATAATATGATTAGATAGATAGTTTTAATTATCTCTAATAATTTAGCGGTAAGACAACACATTTATGATTTATGTATTCATTCCTCTTATTTATCACTAGATTTTTGTATGATTTTTACAATGCTGTATTTAATATTTTAGGTTCTATATGTGTACTTATTTATCTATATCTATAATAATTAAAATATGAAAATGAAGCTAAGTCTAGTGATCATGGAACGGCGGGTAAATAGGATCAATCGCAATGCATGCTTGTGTCCGAAGCATGATGTCATCATTTATTGTTCCTCTGTCTCTGTTCAATCGAAATCCACATTTTGACAGAAGAACAGATTCGAAGTGATAATCAAGCAATCAAATTTCAAGTTTTTTTAATATCTTTTTTCAAAAAAGTTCCTCTTTTTGATTCATTCACGCTGGCTTTCACCTCTCTCTCCGGGAACAAGACTCGTCGGAAAAGAAAAAACCGGCACATGGAGAGTGCGGTGGAGAGAGAAGCGTGGAAGGCACACGTGGCGATGGTCGCTGTACAATTGTTCAACGGAGGTTATCACGTCATTACCAAAGTTGCACTCAACGTCGGTGTAAACCAACTCGTCTTCTGCGTTTTCCGTGATCTCATCGCTCTCTCTATTCTTGCTCCTCTTGCTTATATCCGTGACAAGAAGACAAGACCTCCTTTGAATCGACGCTTCCTCTTAGCTTTCTTCTTCCTCGGCTTAACAGGGTAATTACAGTTTTCTTCTTGAACCCTTTTCTCTGATCTCCATGATATGTGTAATCATCAAAAGGTCCTATGAATGTTGTTAGGATATTTGGCAATCAGCTTTTGTTCCTCATTGGTCTCAACTACACCAATCCAACTTATGCTGCAGCTATCCAACCGTCTATTCCTGTTTTTACTTTCATCTTAGCTCTCATTATGGGGTAAAGATTCCACTGTATCAGTCTCTCTTTCTTTACTTCTCTGATTCTTGCAAGATCAGAGAATCAATGCCTTGTTCTCTTTCCGTTTTCGTGTGTTGTTGATGCAGAACAGAGAGATTGAATTTATTCAAACTAGAAGGTCAAGCTAAGGTAGGAGGTACGGTGGTCTGTGTCGCTGGGGCGGTATTGATGGTTTTGTTTCGTGGACCGGCTTTGTTTGGGGAAACAGAGGCTGAGTTCTTGGGTCATGTTGATTTAAAACACCCTGAAGCATCTGGACACTTCATGTCTAGCTTACTAGGACTTGGGAGATGGAATTTGGGAGTTTTGTGTTTGATTGGGAACTGCACTTGCATGGCTGCTTTTCTTGCTATTCAGGCATGTGTCATTTTTGCTTACATATTATCCAAAACACTTCAGTTTCAGATATCTTCTTGTCTTTGGACTGACCCCGTTTATTTATCGCTTGTAAACCATCTCAGGCTCCAGTCTTAAAGAAGTATCCAGCAAACCTTTCAGTCACAGCATACTCGTATTTCTTTGGGACCATGTTTATGGTGACATCTGCTTTTTTCATGACCAATGATTCGACGAACTGGAGTCTCACGAGATCAGAGTTCTTTGCAGTTGTCTACGCAGTAAGTTCCTAACACCATATGTTTGCTGTTATAAACTAACTTTTGGGCCATGTTAGGTTTCTCCAAATGAGTAACTTTACTGCCTCCTCTGTGCAGGGAGTTATCGCGTCTGCTCTCAACTATGGTCTCTTGACGTGGTCAAATAAGATATTGGGTCCTTCCTTGGTTGCTCTTTATAATCCTCTTCAACCTGCAGCCTCAGCCTTCTTGTCCAGAATCTTCCTTGGAAGCCCTATCTACTTGGGGAGGTTCAAAACTCTCCATTTCTCTCTAGGCTAATCTCAGCCATTGATGGGATGTGTCTGAAGTTTTCCCAACTGACTCAGTTTCTTTTTATTTTTCTCCTTCTATCTTAGTGTTTTAGGCGGATGTGCAATCATCGCAGGTCTTTACAGTGTCACCTGGGCCACATACAAAGAAAAGAAAGCAGTAGCAGCAACAAGTATCATCCCGATCACCTCAAAGGAAGCTGAGCCTTTGATCTACAAGGACCATAAGAATAAATCAATAGGCCATCTATTCACAAACACTCCCGCCTCTGCACCAAAAACTGCTGATTAAACAAACACTCCCGCCTCGGGTGTGCTACAATGTTTTCCTGATCTCCTTTTGCGAACACGAGCGACTAATATACTTTTTGAACAGTATATATGAGTAGACATCATTATTTGCATGTCTTGGGCACAGTAGAGTCTAACTATCAGGTACTCATCTAGCAGTAGAACAGCTAGTCCGCTTGATATAATTCAAGAGCTTATCCTGTATCCTAGACTTCGACGCCAGCCGCTTGCATTTTATAGAGAAGCTTAATGGCCTTAATGTGAAACCCACTCTGCATATAACTCACAACAATAATCCAGCAGCTAAAACTTCTCTCACCTTCCATAGCTCTGAACATCTTTTCTGCATCTTTCACCAACCCATACTTCTTGTACATTTCAATCAACCCCCTTTGTATCGAACCATTTGACTCAAATCTGAACTTTTTGGCATTCACATGCACTCGCTGTCCAAATCAAGTATCATCACTGATCCAAACGCAAGCCTTTAAGACACAAGAAACTAATCCCTTTTATACTTAAAGTCATCAACGAAAGAGATACAGTTCAGAAATTTTCAATGATTCTATGGTTCTGTAGACTTTCTGGGAGACAAAACTCATGGAATAGTACCAATGGGCATGACAAGTGATGAAATAAACAGCATACAGACACTTCTCCTTAGTCCTAAATGAAAAGTTAATATCTTCTCCAGGCTTTCTACTATGACTAATAAACTTAGCAAACAAATTTTTTTCATCTCTTCATACATCTGCATCACCGGATTCCGAATCTTCGTCTTCTCTCCACGACAAAATTGGATTGAGTGAAGATGACTCGTATGATACTGATTGCAGGAAGTTGAAATAAGCGTACTTTATGTCGAACTGCATGTCATACCCTACAAAGTAGATGCATTAAGTAGATGCATAAAGTAGATGCATAGGTGACTAATTAGAAGCAGGAGAGCTGAAAAAAAATACTGTTTTGCCACCTGAAGACAAATAGAGGAAGTACAACTCTTACAATAGTTCACCGCAATAGTATAGCCACCATCTCCTGGGGTTTGACTAACATGGTGAAACCACATGCTTGGCCTGCCATATCCAGATCGGTCATGTGTCAGAATCATGTTTTTGTAGGTTTATCACCCATTTATTTAAGCAAAAGTAAGACTGAACTGAAGTGGATACAACAGTGAGACCTGAAGCCGATCCCATGTCCTTGAGGAAAATATGTTCTGAAATTTCAATAAGTGGAACATGATAATGATCAAGAGATTGAGAAGCTTACAGGTAAAGAATCTCTCCAGCCTTGACAGTACAATGAAACGGCATTGGCCCTTCAAAGAACAATGGATATATCAATCTCTCACTTGCTTCCCTCTCTGGTGAAGGGTATGGATCAACACTGCACCATGGCACATGCCTAACTGGCTGCTCAAGCTCAAGCTTGAACGCTTCACTATCCTACAAAGATTCAAACTTTATCTCAAGTTAACAGCATTCAACGGAAATCAAACTCAAATTGAAATGTAATCAGAGAATCTCACAGACTCGGTAGTAAGAGTAATTGGCGGCTGGGTATCGTCGGACATAGAGGCGGTGTACATCGGTGGGAGGGAGGAGAAGGAAATGTTTCTCCCCTGAAACGACGGCGTATAGGTTCTCGTAGTGGTCTTTGTGGAAAGAAGTCACGGAGAGATCAGTGCCTATCCAAAGGTTCACAGCTTCCGGCGAACAACCAAGCGCCTCCGTAGCCCACGAGATGTCGCCGTCGCAATCTGAAGCAACCGTCGAATACTCCGTTCTGAAACAATCGTTTTGCTGCTGCAGATAAGCGACACTTTTTCCCTTAGACGACGATCGAACGGCCTGAAGAGCCTCCGGGAACGGAACCTTCTCGACGTGAGCCGAAGCGAAACAGAGATCTCCGGTGCTCCCTTGACTGACGGCGTCGGCGCAGCCGTTAGGGGTGAGGTGTAGTGAGACGAGGTCATTTGACAGAGCTCCGGTGAGGTACGCCGGGTCCGACCAGAGTTTTAGAGCCGGCCAATGAGCGATTGCGTTGGAGATTACGCAAGGCTTGCTCTGGGAGACGTAATCTCGGAGAAACTGTACCGGAGACGGCGGAGAGGCAAGATGATCGATTTCAGTTCCTAAGCTCAATTCTCTCACTTCTCTCCACAAATTCTCTATCTGATTAGCCATGGACGATCTCACACACACAAAAATGGCGGGATAAATTTGGGGGGGTTTTTGATATATAACCAAGAGCCCTAATTTCTTATGCTGTCTAATAAAAACTGTTTATTATAAAAATGGGATTTTGAAATTAAATTTGAAGTCTTCGAGAAGAAGATGAGTTGCTCTTATCTATTTTCTGGCGACGCTTCCGTCGTCTCACGGCAGTGGAGTAATGTTTCTTTCCGGCAGCGAGTTTTTCTCCCGCGGCAATTTCTCCGGCAACCGCTTCCGTCGCTTTCCCAATTTCCCGGATTAATCGCCGCCGTAAACGATAGCTTCAGTAAACAATCTCTCGGGACGAGAAACTGCTTTCCTTCGCTATTCATTGGAGATACCGGCGGATTTAACGGCAACAATGATAATGGAAATGGCGGTGGCGGAGACGGTGACTGGTGGGATAACAGCGACGGGGGAGGCGAAGATAACTCCGATGGCTCTTCTTCCCCTTTGAGATTTCTCTGCTTTCTGTTTTTGGTCTATTCCTGCTTCTTCCAATTACGATTATCAGCCGCCATCGCTATAGCCAAAGCTCCAGAGTCCGATAGTAACGGCGATACCGAGAAAGAGACGGTTTGGGAAGTAAGAGGAAGCAAAAGGAAGCGACTTGTCCCCGATTTCGTCAGAGATGAGTTCTTCGTCTCTCCGGAAGAAACTACTTCATCTCCTTTGACTCCTGAGAATCTCCTTGCCCAATGTAGAAACCTCCTGACTCAGTTCCTCCTCCCCGAAGGTTTCCCGAACAGTGTCACCTCCGATTACCTCGACTACTCTCTCTGGAGAGGCGTTCAAGGAATCGCCAGCCAAATCAGCGGCGTTCTCGCTACTCAGGTACTGTTCAACAGTTAATCATCTCTCTTAGGCATTGTTGTTCATTTTCTTTGGTGGGGGGGTTTTTTTTTTTTTGGTAGTCTTTGCTTTATGCGGTTGGGTTGGGAAAAGGAGCAATCCCTACAGCTGCAGCAATCAATTGGGTGCTTAAAGATGGAATTGGGTATCTAAGCAAGATAATGCTATCGAAATATGGTCGACATTTCGATGTTCATCCCAAAGGATGGAGGCTATTTGCTGATCTTCTTGAAAACTCTGCCTTTGGGATGGAGATGCTAACCCCTCTCTTCCCTCAGTTTTTCGTCTTGATCGGTGCTGCTGCTGGTGCTGGTCGATCCGCGGCTGCGTTGATACAGGTTCACTTCCCCGTCTCTTAAAACTCTTTTCTTTCGTAGCTCAAGAGCAAGCATTGTGCTCATCATTTACTTGTTCTTGCAGGCTGCTACTAGAAGTTGCTTTAATGCTGGCTTTGCTTCTCAAAGAAACTTTGCTGAGGTTAACTCAATAAGTTCTTTAAGTCTTAATCACTTATTTACATGTAGTGTATGCATTAACAGTTTCTTTTGTAGGTAATTGCTAAAGGTGAAGCTCAAGGAATGGTGAGTAAATCAATAGGTATCCTGCTCGGGATAGTTGTTGCCAATTGCATAGGGACCTCAACAAGTCTTGCCCTTGCTTCTTTTGGAGTTGTGACGTCGATTCATATGTATACCAATCTCAAATCTTACCAATGCATCCAACTCCGGACTCTAAACCCATATCGCGCAAGTAAATCCCTCTCTCTCCTGCACCCACCCACAAATCATCAAATTCTTCTGACTAAACAAAAATAGCATCTTTCTGTTTACTGTATACAGGTTTGGTTTTTAGTGAGTACCTCATTAGTGGCCAAGCTCCTCCAATCAAGGAGGTTAATGATGAGGAACCGCTCTTCCCAACTGTTCGGAGTTTAAACATAAAATCTGCAGAAAAGGTGAAAATGTCATTCATTTTCCTTAGTAAACCCTCTGAGATCTCTTATCAAGAAAACATTTGCTTGAGAGCCTGATTCTTATAATCTGCTTTGTTCAGAGGCAAGATTTTGTCTTATCATCAGAAGCCAAAGCAGCAGCTGCAGACATAGAGGAACGGCTTCAATTAGGTTCAAAGCTCAGCGATGTTGTCCACAACAAGGAAGAAGCAGTAGCACTGTTTGATCTGTATCGTGATGAAGGCTACATCCTTACAGAACACAGAGGAAGATTCTGCGTAAGCAATAATAAACCTTTTCATCATTTTTTATATCCGGTGGAATCTTCTCACCATTTTTTTATCTCCTCTCAGGTGATGCTCAAGGAAAGCTCTTCTCCACAAGACATGCTCAGATCGTTGTTTCAAGTGAACTATCTCTACTGGCTAGAGAAGAATGCTGGGATCGAAGCTTCAAACACGTACTTAGACTGCAAACCGGGTGGTCGCCTTCACATTTCTTTAGATTATGTGAGAAGAGAGTTTGAACTCGCTAAAGAAGACAGCGAATTAGTGGGTTGGGTCACTGAAGGACTAATAGCTAGACCTTTATCGACCAGAATCCGTCTAGATTATGATCGTGAACCCTCATCTTCTCCTTCCAGCTCATAAACTCAGAGCAAAACCAGGGCCAATGATGCATTAGAATAGATACATTTTGTCTTTGTTCATCTGCCATTGAAAGTAAGCTTTTTTAGAGATTTACATCTCTCAAGTCAGAAGCATTTTGTCTTTGTTCATCTGCCATTAAAGTGCTGTAAGCTTTTGTAGAGATTTACATGTCTCTCTAGTCAGAACATTCCTTAGCTCAATTATAATTCGACCTCATATGAGAAAACCAAATACTTAATATTATGATACTGACGTATATTAGAATTTGTTTTCATGTCATAAATTCCAACAAAACAATAATGCGTTTGTGCATATGTGAGCATTATATCATTATGACTTGAGATTCAAATCTTCTTATTAAATTCATTGTGACCTACAAACATGCCTGACTTTTTTCACATTTGACCCCACGAAATTGGGAATGATTGTTACATCAAGTTTTCTACACAATTGGTTTATTTATCAGATCGAATCTAGACTTTTACAGTGATCCGTTGCAGGCTGCTAACAAACAATTACAGAAAAGATGAAACAAAACAAATTGGCAAGTTAGCCTAAAGAGATAATAGATTTTCTGATTTCTACTGAACAAAAGGATATCGAGCAACGTAGAATTCTCTTACACGCGAAGCCCCATCTCGGGCAAGTATGCCTTCGAGATCTCCAATGATTCTAGCTAGCCAAATCTCGAGGTTTCTCTGAACTTCTTTCAAGTTGTTTTTGATCAATTCCAATGACCTTCTTGTGTTCATCTTTGCTTGGTTTAGTTGTTCTCCTTGATTGCTCCTAGTGATCTCCGTCTGCAACGCAACTAGCTTCTGCCCTGTCTCTGATGCTCGCTGCTGAAGTCTAAAACACTCGAGCAGAAACTCGGTTTGTCTTTGTGTCCTAAACTCAGGTCCTAGCGTCGCATTAGAAGGATCACTACTCTGCTGAAAAAGGAAACATATAGCACCAAAAGGTTAAGCCTTTTTAGTTCTTTGAGTAACTCAAGAATGTGTCATAGACTTTCAGTGTTAAAGTTGTACCATTCTCCTGCATAGATCATCGATCTTCCCTGCAAGAGCTTGATACCTCTTTGCTTGTTTTCTCAACAAAGATGGAACCTTTGAGATGTCACTACGACAAACTTTCTCAAGATTTAATAACTCCTCTTCTAGTAACCTCAATTTCCCAGAAACACCTGTTGCTTCACTATCGATCTTCCATGGTGATTCCCTTCTGTGGAATGAATACACATTACTGCTCATTCATCATCACACAATCTAAATTCAAAATCTGTAGATTTCAACAAAACTTTACCTTGGCACAAACTGCTTCATACGGTACACAGATTCCAGAGATTCATACTGTACATCCTGCAAAAACAGAAGCAAAACCCTAAAATCAAGACCCCAATTCTCTCTCTCTCACTCTAAATCACCATGAGTTATAATAAGAAACAAAACCTGGAAAGGGTTAGTATTATGCGACTCTGCCCAGAATTGAGAGCTTGGAGTAAGCCCATAAGCAGTGGGAGTAGAAGATACAGTGAGGTGATCCACACCGTAACGCTCAGTGGAATTCTCATCATCTCCTTCTTCTTCTTCTTCTTCGTCTACGATCCCTCTTCTCGACATAAACCCAATCATCTCATCCCTCTCGCTCACTTCTCTCTCCAAATCGTTAATCCTGTTCATGAACTCTTCCCTCTCTTCCTCCATCTCATGAATCCGATTCTGCAGCCGTTTCTCCTCTTCCTGCCAAGCGTTCCGATGGCTAGCGAAGATCTCAACGACGCGCGCGTTGGCCTTCGAGTCCTCCACGCGCCGAGATTTCATCTGACGGACTTGTTCCTCCGCCGCCGCGAGCCGCCGTTTCAGCTCCTTGATCTCCGTCGTCAATCGAGGAACGAGAGATATCGCGTCGCTCGGGAGATGAGCTAGCATCACTGAGAAGCTTAGACCTAGGAAGGATCTCGATAGCCTCTTCAAATCATGCTCGCTTTCTTCTTCTTCTTCCTCAGTAACGGTTCTCATTATCGACTCCTCTTCTTCAGCTTCGGGAACAGTCGCCATTTCTGAGCTCAGGAATCGGAGAAAGGGATACAAAGGAAAAAGACAAACTTTTTATTTCGTCAATCTTTTTTTTTTTTAAATCTGTTATAGCTGAAAAAGAAAGGCCTCTTTTGATGTATTCATCAGATTTTGACGAATATAAAAATTCAATAAATCTTTATTTTTGTAAGAGATAAATCCCATCAACAAGTTTAAATCTGATATTGACATGATGACAAAAAAAATAAAAAATCTGATATTGACATAGATGATACAATAGTACTTTATGCCACCCAACAAACTCATTATAAATTCTGGGATTAGTAGAGACAGAAGATTGTTGAACAAAAAAAATATAATAAAGGAGATAGAAGATCTAAATACAATGGTAGTTAATTGTCTCTCTCTTTTTTTTGTTATTGTTGTGAATTATGGTTTGTTGTAAATAATATCACCTAACAAGATTTGTTGTTTTGAAATCTAGGAGGTGGTTTAGTGGAAGTTGGATTAAGATACACAGTTGATTGCTTTCAACTTTTAAGAGTCAAGATATTTGTTAAACTTGTAGAGTTGTGTTGAATTTGTAGAGAGTTGTGTGTATTTTAAGAATTCAACAAAGGATATACACAGTAAGTATTTTGAAAAGTTTTTTTTTAATAAATAAAATTGTAAAGAGTTCATATCCAAACAACACTAAAATTTGATAAATAAAAAATCATTAAAACCCAAACATTTTAAATAACAATGAATTTTGAAAAGAATTCAAAAGTTATCAAACCAATAACAAGTAGACTTATAAAAGAGTGTTAGAATCCATAAACCAATATTAGTAGAATCTATTAAGAATGTTAAGATTCGTAAACGGTAAACCAATAATAGCAACATATTCTACAAATTCTAACAATCAGTAAAATATTCAACTCCCAACCCCCCACCCCCAACATCTCGTAGATCGTATATTCTATAAACTCATGTAAATTAATATATACTTAGATTAAGAACTACTAGCACATGTTGTAACAGAATATTTTAGTTTAATTTCTGATGATAAAGATCTGATTACCATTAGAAAACCCATCTAGTTGATTAGAAGAAGATGGATTAGAATATTTCAGTATTTTTTTCTTGCGATATAATCTATAGTTTACAAATATATACATAGGTGATGAGTAGTCGTTTGTCTGACTTGAATGAGGCTGGACCATGTAGATAAAAAGAGGCATCGTCTGTTCAATGCAACAAGAAGATGGACAAATCATATCACGGACCCGACCAATCTCCACCTCCCAAACCACGTGTCACGTGATATCTCATCATGTTCTTAACACAATTGTTGCTCATTTGCATTATGACTCTAAAGACTTGATCAGGTTTAAGTTGTAGTTGTAACCGTTTTGTCGTATAAATTTTTCTAGCAGGACCAAATCTGTTAATGGCTAAAATTTAGATGCTTAATTTTTTTTTATTTTCTTGCATTTTTCGCTGACAAACTACACAACAAGAGAATACAGGATGAAGAAACATTTTGCAATTTTTTTTTTTCAATAACATGTGAATATATACCAAAAAAAATGTTCTGATTACAAAGCTGGCGAAGCAGAAGATGATATGGACTCAAAAAAGAATAAAACACCCAGATCAATCTTTAACATCCGAAATTTCGAATAGACTAACTGCTTACAGTTCAATTAGATATGATTAGCAATAAGTAAACCAAGAAGAAAGCAGATTATGTGGCTTTCGGCGGTTCCAAGCTAGAAGGATGTCTTTGATACTGCGGTTAATCAGCTTGAAAATGGCATCAAGTGGCATCGCTATTCCGGAATGAAGTCGAGCATTTCGTTCTTTCCATAAGGTGTAGATTGTGGTCTGGGCAGCTATGCATCGAAGCAAGCGGACGTCAGTTGGGGTCGAGGAAGACAGCCATAAAATGACAGAATCATAATTTGGAAAGGTCACAGAATTTATCCCAAGCTTGCAAAGAGTCTGAGTCCACACCTTGGAGGCAACGTCACAGTGGAGAAAGAGATGATCACGCGTTTCTGGAGCAAGACTGCAGCAGCAGCAAAGGTCCGAGACATTCTTTCCCCAACTCACCAGGCGAGTTCTAACCGGCAAACAATCCAGCTGAACGATCCAAAAGGTGAAAGCTTGCTTGGGAACAAAACCTTTGTACCAGAAAACTTTGAACCATTGAACCGGGGGAGCCAAAGGCCGGAGTCTGTCCCATGTTGCTGCAATTGAAAAGTTGACCTTCGATTGAGTCCCGCAGTCTCATAAAAACGAATCTTCACCAGCAAAAGGAGTGGGAATGGGGGTAACAAGGAGTAAACGCCGACTCAAGGAGCTGAGAGTCTCTGCATTTAGAGCCAGGAACCTTCCATTGACCCTCTGAACAAGCGTCACTGACCTTGCTCTCTCGCGGAATGCCAAGGAGTCGCGGACCATTGTCACCAATACGATCAAACAGAGGGCCAATAGGTAACCAGTTGTCAAACCAGAACAAAGACTGAGAACCATTTCCGACGGAGCACCGGATAAAGAGCCTTGCAAGAGACCTGAGCTTCAGCAGAAATTTCCAAATCCAAGAAGAGGAGGCGGACTCATCGCAGGACCAAAAATTGGAGCGTTTCATCCGATGTTCCTTGTTCCAAGCTACCCAAAGGGAACCACTATTGGTAAAAAGCATCCAAATCAGACGAATATTTAGAACCTTGTTCCAAATAGAAAAATTGCAGAGACCCAAGCCCCCTTCCTGCTTTGGGAGGCAGGCTTGTTTCCAAGAAACCTTCACCCCCAACCTTAGTGATGTCCCCTTGCCACAAGAATCGGGTGCACAAACTCTCCAAAGCTCTGATGCAGCATTTGGGTAACGAGAAGGCAGATATCCAAAAGTTAATAATCCCATAGATTACCGAAGAGATCAGCTGCAATCGACCGACGAAAGAGAGAGTCTTAACGGTCCAGCTGGAAAATTAGAAGACACAGCTTCGAGCAAGGGAGAGTACTCAGTTTTCCGAAGCTTTCTATGCATAAGAGGCAAGCCGAGGTATGTGATAGGGAGATAACCTGTGAGGAAACCGAGGGAAGACGATTCCTAGGTTTCCTCCGGGTTCAAACCCGCTGTGAACAGAGCCGACTTATCCCTGTTCGTAAAAAGACCTGATAGAAAAGCAAAGTCATCAAAATTGGTCACAACGCCTATAAGGG